CAAATTACCTCTATGTGCTGATGATATAATTCTATACCTAGAAGACCCAAAAAATTCCACCAGAAAACTTCTAGAACTAGTAAATGAATTCAGTAAAGTAGCAGGATATAAAATCAACACCCATAAATCAAAGGCATTTCTGTATATCAGTGACAATTCCCCTGAAAGGGAAATGAGGAAAACTACTCCATTTACAATAGCCTCAAAAAAATATAATAGTTGGGAATCAACCTAACAAAAGAGGTGAAAGACCTCTACAATGAAAATTACAGAATGCTAAAGACAGAAATTAAAGAAGACCTTAGAAGATGGAAAGATCTACCTTGTTCTGGATAGGCAGAATTAATATTGTCAAAATGACCATACTACCAAAAGCATTATACGGATTTAATGCAATTCCAATCAAAATCCCAATGACATTCTTCATAGAAACAGAAAAAGCAGTCATGAAATTCATCTGGAAAAATAAGAGACCCAGAGTAGCTAAAGCAATCCTTAGCAAGACGAGTGAAGCAGGTGGAATCATTATATCAGACCTTAAACAAAACAATAGTAACAAAAACAGCCTGATATGGGCACCAAAATAGACTGGTAGACCAATGTACAGAATAGAGGACACAGTGACTAACCTATATAATTACAGTTATCTTATATTAGACAAAGGTACCAAAAACATATATTGGAGAAAAAATAGCCTCTTCAACAAATGGTGCAGGGAAAACTGAAAATTCATATACAACAAATTGAAATTAAACCCCTATCTCTTACCATGCACAAAACTCAACTCAAAGTGGATCAAGAACCTAGGAATTAAACCTGAGACCCTGCATCTAACAGAAGAAAAAGTAGTCCCAAACCTCCATCACATCGGATTAGGCCCCAACTTCCTTAATAAGGCTCCTATAAGCACAGGAATTAAAATCAAGAATTAATAAATGGGATGGATTCAAACAAATAAGCTTCTTCTCAGCAAAAGAAATAATCAGTAAGGTGAATAGAGAGCCTACAGATTGGGAGCAAATTTTTAACACTTGCACATCAGATAGAGCAGTAATCTCTGGGATACATAAAGAACTCAAATAACCCAATCAAAAAAATGGGCCAAAGAACAGAACAGACACTCTCAGAAGAGTATATACAATCAACAAATATATGAAAATGTTCATCATCTCTAGCAATTAGAAAAATGCAAATCAAAACTACTCTAAGATTCATCTCACTCTAGTCAGAATGGCAGCTATTAAGAACACAAGCAACAGTAAGAGCTGGCGAAGATGTGGGAGAAAAGGCACACTTATACATTGCTGGTAGGACTGCAAAATGGTACAGCCAATATGGAAAGCAGTTTGGAGACTCCTTGGAAAACTGGGAATGGAAGCACCTTTTGACCCAGCTATCCCGCTCCTCAGTGTATCCTTAAAGGACTTAAAAACAGCATACTACAGGAACACAACCACATCAATGTTTATAGCAGCATAATTCACAATAGCTAAACTGTGGGACCAAACTAGATGCCCTTCAGTAGATGAATGGATAAAGAAAATGTGGTATATATACACAATGGAATATTACTCAGCAATAAAARAGATTAAAATCATGGCATTTGCAGGTTAAATGGATGGAGTTGGAGAATATAATGTTAAGTGAAGTTAGCCAATCCCAAAAAAACGAATGCTGAAAAGTTTTCTCTGATATAAGGAGGCTGATTCATAGTGGGGTTGGGAGAGGGAGCAAGGGAGGATTAGAGGAATACTAGATATGACAAAGGGGTGGGAGGGGAAGGGAGAGGGCATCGGGGTAGAAAAGACAGTGGAATGAGATGGACATCATTACCCTAAGTACATGTATGAAAACACAAATATTGTGAATATACCTTGTATACAACCAGAGATATGAAAAAATGTGTTCTATATGTGTACTATGCATACTACCATATATATATCAAATTAGAATAAAAATTTTTTTAAATGTTATTTTGCTGGGCGCAGTAGCTCATGCCTATAATCCCAGCAACTTGGGAGRCTGAGGCAAAAGGATCACAAGTTCAAAGCCAATCTCAAAAACAGCAAGATCCTGTTTCAAAATAAAAAGAGCTAGGGATGTACTCAGTGATAAAGCACCCCCGAGTTCAATACCCACTAACAACAAAAAAAGATATTTTGGGGGCTGGGTATATACTCAGTGGTAGAATACTTGCATAACATGTGCAAGACTATGGGTTCAATCCCCACCACCATGACAAAAATAAAGTATTTTTTACAATGAAGAATAATTTTTTTTTATCTGGTATAGATATTCTAAGTACCTATCAGCTTACATTATGAGTATTTATATACCATATATCTCTAACAGCCTCAAAGGTACTAATTTTCTTTCCTATATCTTTGAATCTCAAACTATTAACATCATTTACTCTAAAACCCATGACACTTGTGTATTTGTTTTAATAGAAGAATCTTAAGGTAAAGAACAGGTTTCTTTCATATTCTAGTCAACAGAAGTTATTATAGTTGCATACCGTCTGTTGTTCTAGTATAAGAATGAGTACTAAGTCTGATTTCAAAAACACACTGTGTTCACTAAGCATACCAGACTTCCACATTTAGATGTGTTATTTTTGTACCCCTTGCATGTTAAATATATGCTCATAGATGTAACACAGCATAGAAGAGTATAATTTAGCCAAAACAATTGAGTTTATTTTCAATATTAAATATATGCAGAAATAATGACTTTTTAACCAATCCTTAATGGTATGTAAAATTTCAGTCAATGATAAATATCCAGTAAGGCTATGTATAAAATATTTATAATAAGAGATTTCCTATTAAATACTGGGGCCTAACTTGTTGAGACTGGCCTCAAACTTACAATCTTCCTTTCCTCAGTCTCCTAAATCACTGGGATTACAGGCATGTACCACCATATGCCTACCATATATATTAAGAATTTTAAGTAGAATCATGGGTACTCAGTTTATCTATTCTGAGCCAGATCCAGGGGATCCAGGCTTTCATGAAACTAACAATCTAGTAAAAGATATAAGAATGATATAAGAAAATAAAATAACTCCTGTAATCCCAGCATCTTGGAAGGCTGAGGTAAGAAGATCACAAATCCAATGCCAGCCTTAGCAATTTAGCGAGGTCCTAAGCAACTCAGCAAGACCCTGTCTCTAAATAAAATACAAAAATAAAGGGCTATGGATGTGGCTCAGTGGTTAAGCGCCCCTGGGTTCAATTCCTGGTACCAAAAAAAAAAAAAAAAAAAAAAATGAAAAGAAAGAAAGAAAAAAGAAAAGAAAAGAATATTTTACTCTTTGCTGTGCTACTGCTTATGTTTTAGCAAGTTGATTCTAGAAAATTTTCTGGTGAGGAGTCAGCTTTCATCTTTAATTTTTAAGAATCATCTGCTTTATGCTATAAAGGTATTTTTTTTAACTGCCTTGAAATGTGTGAACATCTACTTTAGAAAATCGAGTGAATCACTTAAAATTTAAACATGAATAACTTGAGTGTGTAATGATCCCATAACTCCCAGAATAAGTTGACTACAGCTCTTTCTTTCATAGCCTTAGATCAGAGCTATCCAAATACTATCACATCCAAAGAGTTTTCTATAAACCACATCCCTATATTCAAAATTACATCTCCTCTCTTTTTTTAATCAGGTACATTTTTAAAATCTAAAATCACCACCCACTTTGTAATTGTTTGACTCCGCAAAAATCAGAAGGCACTAATGGACAGCCAACCTATCCTCATAGTGCCCTGAGTGAAGATAAGCCAGCTTTGATATATGATGGACCAAAATCCCACTGCCAAAGGCTCCAGGCAGGGAGAGGAACAGCCATCAAAGTTTATCTCTAACCACATTATTTTAAGAAACATTAATAAAAAATAAAGACATCAAGAGACTCAGAAGTTATTACATCTAAATAAGAAGAAACCATTGAGAATTAACTGATTTAGCTAGACAAAATGATGAATAAATTAGTGCCAAAACTAAAATCAACTAAAGAAAATATTATTGCAACAATTACATAAGGATATACACTATAGTACCATTTCCATACTATGCCCAATTTTAGAACTAAATTAGTCTTTGGGTACTAATGAGGGATAAGTCAATTGGCAGTAAAATACATAAGCAATTAAAGCAAAGAATTTCTGATAATCTATTATGCAAATATCAGAAATTGCCACGCAGTACAAAATATAAGATAAATATACACATGGACTTTGATGACAAAATTGCTAATATTCTTTCCAATGTTCTAAGCCCACACATTTATCTAATTTAATCTTCAGAGTAACCATCCTTTGAGTCAGATACTATTATTATCATCTTATATAAAGAAATCAAGATACTGATAAGTTAGCAAATTTGCCAAGGTTACATAATTGGTTAGGTGACAGAGCATTAATTTAAACCTAATCTAACTCCAGAACGCATGTGTAGGGGCTGGGGTTGTTGCTCAGTGTTAGAGTGTTGGCCTAGCCTGTATGAGGCACTGGGTTTGATCCTCAGCACTACATAAAAACATAAATAAATAAAAGTATCGTGTCCTCTACAACTAAAAACATTTTTAAAAGAATCCATGTATAACTAGTATGCTACCTCTCAACATCTTTAATTGACTTTTTTAAAAAATAAAATGTATATAGCACCACAAAAAAATTTATTTTCTTTTTTTTGGGGGGGGGGAGGGGTACTAAGAACCCAGGGGTTCTAGTATCACAAAGTTACATTCTCAACCCTTTTTATTTTTAGTTTGAGACATGGTTTTACTAAGCTGCTGAGACTGGCCTTGAACTTGCAATTCTCTGGCCTCAGCCTCTCAAGTCACTGGGATTATAAACATGTGTCACCATGCCCAGCTAAAAACATTATTTTCAAAAAATAAAATTCATAGAACTTTACCAGCTAGACATGAAGTTATAAGGTAGAATTTTTAAAAATTCACATGTATATCAAAGCTTCTCAACCTCAAGCCTTACCACAAAAAAAATAGAATCATCATCTATTGTACATCCACGATTTACAGCACTGAAGAGATCCACAGTGGGAATGTAAGACTCATATCTGGTTCTGGTCTGTTCTGCAAAAGATAACCAAAAACTAAAAAGTTATTTCGAATGCTAATGTTAGTTTGAATTATTTATATTTCTTATATTTTACCCTGACGTCTACTGCATCTTTACTGAAAATGCAGGCACAAGAAAGCAAGCCTATCCTGTCTATGGTGCTTAAAATAAGCTTAAATTATATAATATGTAAACATAATAAAGTTAGAAAACAGGTTTACAAAAATAATAAGGTCACCATAGAACCCAATATTAGAAACAATAATCCCTAGTATTTGAGTGTATTTGTGTGTGTGTGTGTGTGTGTGTATCTCCTTTCAGAAGATTTCTCAAGCAAACATATGCATACAAAATGTTTAAACAGAAATACATTGCTCAATATATTATTTTTAACTTAATGTGTCATAAAAACCCTAGCATTTAAATAAACATAAACCTACATCATAATTTTAAAGTGAATGTGGAGTGTTACATTATATAATTCACAAAATTGATTTCTCCAACTCTAGGATTCCCTGAACCTTATATATAGACTAATAAAATATTGATTAGTTTAAAACTCACAGCTTACATGATATAATTATACCATTATCAGGGCTTTTTCTACAGTGTTTGAATTTTTAGAGTAAGATTCCTGACCCTAATTCTATCTCAAAAAGATTATCACAAAAGACTGAAACACAACAAAATATCAAATTCATAATTCAAAGATTTAAGAATTACCTGAGATCCTGGGCTAAATCCCAGTAATAATCTCAAGAAGCAAAATTCAATTCCAGGCGTTTGCCCCTAGCTTTAGTCTGCTCAGAGCATGTGTTTAATCAGAGTGATCAGCTGAAACACGGACTTAACATGCATTTCATCATGGCAAACTATTAAATAACTGGTGAAGGGCAAACCATCACTGGCTCTTCATCCCTTCCAGGAAACCCTCTTAAGGTTGGAACTTGGGCTCTTTCAACTACCATATTTCATCCACTAATAACACTGAGTCTCAAATCTTTCAAGGTAAAAATTCATATTTTTCTCTTACACTTACCTCTGCTATTAGATGAATCCAGCTTCTATCTAGGAATGAAGTTGACTTTTAGGATCTATCAATTACGTAGCATCAAGTCTGGAAAATAAAAAATAGACAAAGGTTATGTGTACATAATGACTCAGACCAGCATATTCCACACCAAGTCACAAGAAAAATTAGAGTCATGTTCATTCTGTACTTGAATCTCCAGGAATATGAATTATTGATATTTAGAGAATATTAGCAAACACCCAACATCTAATTCAAATTAAGACAGGATCTCTACACAAATTCAACTTTGTTAAAAACTTTGGCTAAAACTACACAGTGAGTTTTAAAACTGCACAACCAAACTCTGAAAGTCCATAAAAGTCAGCAGCCTCAGAATAACAGAGCAGGTATGCAAAAGGAAGGAGCCAAGAACTCATGAGATTAAGATAAATAAGGTAATATTTTTTAAGGCATAATTTAATTTCAGTGGAGCCAATGTTGACTATATTTAACCTTTACTCTTAGTAATCCTGTCACAATTAAAAAAAAAAAAAAAAAAAAAAAAAACCTTCCCTTAACAGAGGAGTGTATTCAACTAACATTTGGAACCCAAGACTGCCACAAGATGGCAATATAAGAAAGAGGCTTTAATTTCCTCTTCCATAGATTCTGAGTATAATGTGAACTTTGAGGTAAAAAAGACTGGAAGAACTGAGCTGTTCATTACTACAAGCAACCTTCCTCGATTCTTCACCTAATTAATAGCTAGAAAAATGTCTATATTGTACATAATGATCATTTAAAACTCATTAGCTAGGGGTTGAGGATATAGCTCAGTGGTAGAATGCTTGCCTGGCATATATGAGATTCTAGGTTCTATCCCCAGCACTACAAAAGAAAAAGGAAAAACAAAACTCATTAGCTTAAAAAAAAAAAAAAGGAAAAAGGAAAAAGAACACATATAACCACTTACAACATATGACCCCTTAATTAAAACTAAATTGCTCAGTCATACTAGTCACATTTTAATTGCTCAATTAATATAGATGGCCCTGGCAGACAATAAAAATATAGAATATTTCAACATCATAGAAAATTCTATCAAATATCAGTACCATTAAGGAGTAGCATGACTAAAATAAGGAAACTGTAGTCATCATTTTTTTTTCTTTTTAGTTGTAGTTGAACACAATACCTCTATTTTATTTATTTATTATTATGTGGTGCTGAGGATCAAACCCAGGGCCTTGCACATGCTAGGTGAGCGCTCTACTGCTGGGCCACAACCCAGCCCCAGAAACAGTACTCATCATTCTTAGAAATTCCTTAAAAATTCCTACTATCTTGACAGCACTATAGAAATTTTTTCTTTCAAACTTCAAAATCCTATTGTTACAGAGAAAATTGAGCCTCAGAGAAATTACATAAATTTCCTAAATTCACCTAAGTAATAAGAGCTGGGATTTAAATCCAGTTCTGTCAAAACTTCACACTCTTCAATGTAATTCCTACATGAAATAAGAAACAGAGCTAAAGAGGATGGTTTGCTTTAGAATTTAGTGAGGGTGATAACTTGGGATACAGCTCAATAATAGAGAACTGGCACTGAGACCCTGGGTTCATTCCTAGCACTTCAGCACTGCAAGAAAAAGAAAAGAAGGGCTGACTTCCTTTAGTTTACTGGGAGTGGTAGTACACTTCTACAATCCCGATACTCAGGAGGCTGAAGAGGATCACAAGTTTGAGGCTAGTCTCAGAAACTTAGGAAGACCCTGTCTCAAAATAAAAAATAAAAAAGAACTGGGGATGTAGCTCAGTAGTAGAACATCCCTGGGCTCAATCCCCCATACCCAAAAAAAAAAAAAATTTTAATGAGAATGACCTGCTGGTTCAGTGGCTTAGGAGGTAAATGAAATAAATGAGGTGGTTTTAAGTACCTCAGAAAGATATAATTGAAAGGTTATTTTACTTCTTCCTTATCCTGTACTTGAATAATTCTTAATAGGTGTTTTATAAATTATAAAATATTTTATAAGTATTATATTATATTAATATTTATAAAATATGTATATTTATTTTATAAATATACATATTTTATAAATATTAATATAATATAATATAAATATTTTGTAAATATAAATATTTTATAAATGTTTATTTTATAAGTATTATAAGTATTTTATAAATACTCCATAAATAAACAATGACCCACTCATTTTGTTGATTGTGGGCAGTAAGTGCTTCAAAGTACTGCTTTCATGACCAAAAAAAGTATATTTTAAATGTATAAACAAGTGCTTAATAAAAGCTTGATACAAACTACAAACTGATAATATTAAATCCACAGATGATACTTTTTTTGTTTGTTTTACAAAGGGCAATGCATCTGCCAATAAATGGGTACATGTAAAAGCAGAACCACCAGCACTGTCTGTCCCCAAAACTGTGATTCTGGCCCAGGTCACCCTAAACCCAACTTCAGAGAGTGACCTAAAGCCACACGTAGACAGAGAAACCAGACCCATTAGCAAGGCAAGCACTCAGCAAAGGGAAGGGCATTACAAAAAAAAAAGAAAAGAAACAAAACCAGACCTTGAGAGGAAAAACATTATAAAAGGGTAATGACCTTCAGTAAAACCGAAGTGTCACATATGCTTTACATAGCTGCTCCATATTAAAATTGTATTACCACCCAATTTTGCTCATTTCCACTCCAATTCACTCAGTCCTCACTAACAACCTAAATCAATAGTAACTCTAACAACCTTTGGTCTTTTTAAATAAAAGATACATGTATAGTGCAGAGATTGTAATTACGGCAGCATATCTTGGTCAAAAGTCAAGTACCTGCCTCAATCAGCCTTTAACCTTTTCTATTAGGAATGTCCAAATCCAAGCTCGCTTGATTTTTAGGGAATATATACATATTACGAAGGCTTTCAGGGGCCACTTCTGGGATGGCACACAAGGTACTAAAGACCTCTTCAGTAGATTTCATCTTCAACCTGAAATAAAAGGAAAACAGGAAATAAATTCTAACTGATCATATGGCAGTTTTCTTTAGAGATAGTTCCATAAGGCACTGCTATCTGAAAGACTCCAGGTTTTTTATTTCCTGCTCACTGCCAGCTGTTTTGGCTCCAGATTACATATTGTTTTAATCTCTAAGTGTAAGAAAAATCCACTCCAAGCATATATGAAATAAAATCAGTGAAGTCAGAAACAGCTCATCCCAAGTTTATTTTACTCAGTCCCAGTCACAAGGCTGATAAAATAAATAAAATTAAAATATAGTGTCTGAGAACTTTGGTCAAGACAGCAGTAAAGAACAACTTAAAGTCAGGATGCAAGAGGCAATAAGAATAAGACCTTCCCTACCCTATTAACTTGCTACTTCATCTATTTCATAATATTTTGCCCATCTTACAATTTACAAATCACTTTCCATAATTACCTCATTTTCCAAGTATACTGTGTCATCTCTATTGTAGAGGTACACAAGCAATCTTTAGATTCTAAATGGCAGGGCTGGGGATGTAGCTAGGAGATAGAATGCCTGTCTAGTATATGAGAGGCCCTAGGTTGGATCCCCATTGGCTAAATAAATAAATAAATAAATAACAACAACAACAAAAAAAAAAAAAAACACAAAGGAAATCAATGGCAGGAAACTTAATGTTAAGATGGGGGGGGGATTTTATCCTTTCCTCAATTTTTGGTCAATAATTTTTATTGACAAAATTATATATACTCATGGTGTACAATATGATGTTTTGATATAAGTATACATAAGATATCTATCACTTCACTTATCATATGTGTGTATATGTGTTAAGAACACTTAATTTCCAAATTTACAAAATATATCCTTGACTGTAGTCACCAGGCTATCCTGTACATCTCCATAATCTAGTCTTCCCCACTAACCAAAACTTTGTACTCTTTGATCATATCTTCCCAAATCCATCCCTCCCCATCCCAGTAACTGGCTGCCACCATTCTACTCTCCGCTTCTACAAGTTCAGCTCTCTTAAGATTCCACAAATAAGGTAGATCATGCAGTACTGTCTTTCCATGGTTAGCTTATTTCACTTAGCAAAATGTCCTCCAGGATCATCCATGTTATCACCAATCACAGAATTTCCTCCTTCTGTTTTGAGACTGAGTAGTAAGTATTCCACTGTGTTTACCACATTTTCTTTGTCTGTTAATGGAAACTTAGGTTGATTTTATATCTTGGCCTTTGTTAATCAAATTGCAATAAACATGTGAATAAAGACACCTCTACCACATACTGATATTATTTCCTGTGGATACACATCCAGAAGTGGCATTGGTAGATCATATAATTTTTCAAGAAACTTTCATCCAGTTTTCCATAATGGCTGCACTAATTTATGTTCCGATAACAGATTCTGAAGATAGACAGATATGGATTTGAATCTTGGTTCTAACAGGTATTTGCTGTGACCTTGGGCAAGTTCTCTAAACCTCAACTATAACTGCTCCCTCTGTAAAATGAAAACAAATACCACCTACCTCTTAGAACTTCTTTAAAGATTAAGTAAGGTAATAAATATACTTAACAGAGAAGCTGGGATGGAATTAAGTGTTTAATATATTGTTTCTATTAATTTGCTGAAGCACAACAAGCTAGTGACTAGAAATGCAGATAGTCTGTGTACAGACGTCACATTTTTCAAAATAACTCTGAAGCCAGAAAGGTCAGTCATAGGACACTATTAACTCCAAGACACTGTCTTCTATGAAAAAAAAGGCACAAGCTTGCTTTCTTATTCCTCTCCTTCCCTACTCAATAATCGAGACCCCAAAGTGTTCTATGTAAAGTTCCTTCTTAAGAGCAAAAAGAAGCTTCCATTAGGGAGAATCTATTTTTTCCCCATTAGCAAAACCTCCTAGCTAAAAAAACTAGATGTCTCACAAGACACAGTAAGTTTTTTAAGATTTAAAATAAACAGCTTTAGAGAAATTTTCAAAGGTCTTATTTTGTAGGCTTACATTCTAAAAAACATTCAGCTCTTCCTAACCTAATGCTAAAATATGAGCTGAATCAACACCATAATTTCAGGGAGCTATCCAGCACACATTTTCTCAGCAAACACTAAAAGCATGCCCCTTCTGCCCTTGTGAAAACAAGGAGCACATGGTTTTTCTAGGTCATGCCTGTCATTTCTTTCCAATATTAAATATGTGCTCAGAACAAGATAAACCATCCCCTACTCATGCCAAAGTAGACAGATATATTCATATAAAGACCATAAACATTATTTTGCCTCTGGCAGAAAATCCTTTACTGCTAGTCAAGATATTTTGGATGTTAATTGGATTCTAATCAACACTATGTATACAAATTAAATATACATAACAGGAAGCCTGCTAAATATCTAGAGTCCTTTTAAAGAAGAACTATATAGCAAAATCCAAAGTGTCACAGTGACAAATGACATATATACAAGCTAATTCATTTGGTGGGAATATCAAGATCATAAGCTTAAATGTCCACCAATAAAGGCTAAAAAAAAAATATGGTATGTTTTAGGGAACAGACAGATGAGGAAGGTGGGAACATGAGGTTAAGAGAATAATTATGTGACAATTATAAAGGATGTGGATGCTCTTTATACATATACAGTTATTAAGTAGAAAAAGATACATGGTATATGTACAGGAGAAGGGAAAGGTAAGTACACAAATTTACTTATATGTACATAATATATCTTAAGAAGAATACACAAGTAACTGTTAATACTGTTACTGAGGAAGGGAAATGGGTGGCTTAGGACAAAAATAAGAGACTTTCCATGGTACATATTTGATCCTATTGTTATACCTATTCAAAAACTAAAATTAATAACAAGGCTTAAGAATTATTAGGCTTATGGAAGGACTATAAACACCTATTGTTATATTCAATTAGCTAGTTTAGAATGTCTTTTTCTCATTTTCTACCTATAAGAATAACCAACACATACATTATATCCAAACTCAGAGAAAAATAGGAATATGGTGAAGTTACACTCAAGGTCACTAGACAAAACTTTTTACAAGAAAAAAGATATTCAAAATATTTATTGTAAATATATATTGTTTACTTCTAGAAGATGCTTAATATTTATTGCGCACCAACTAGGTCCTGGCTTTTACATATTTTTATTTGATCTTCCCAAGGTGAGCCCAGAGGGCTCCATGGTTCTTCCAAGGTCACTGGACCCGTAAACTGTAGCACTAGAATTTGAATATAGGTTTGCACTAAACTGGGGTCCCTTTTTCAACATACCTTAAACTTTTGGGAGCACAGCACAGTATGTGTCCTAGGAGCTCACTAGGCTCACTAATATCATCTGCCTTAAGACTTTGCTGCCTGGTCTCATCAAGAAAGCAGTAATGCTCTGAGCAAAGATCAGGGTAAAGTCACTGTCCACAGAAATGCCCATGGACCCAGTTAAGAGCATGGGCCCTACAGATATTCACCAGAGAATTAAAATGTACTGAGCTGAACACCTCTCAAAAATCTCCCCTCACCCAGGGAACTATAAAACAAAACAGCATTGGGATAATAACGGTATCTTCCCTGCAAGCAAAATGAAGGTAGACATTTTCAAAGAATACATGCACTCTGCACATGAAATAGAATCTATTGTTTCTGAGTCACCAGGTCTTGAGGAAGGCAGGAAAGCCCAGTACTGCAGAGGCCCACGTGGAAACAAGCCAGGCAGAGCCTTTCACTGCCTTCCCCCAACCTCCCTACAGACGAAATGAATCGCCTTGCAACTCTCCCACACTCTAGTGCTGGCTTGGAATAAAGGCCTGCCACCTGGTTATATGGCTCAAATAAAGAGAAATCCAAAACAACTAGAGAGCAAAATTCAGTGCATACTCACCAGCCCACCAAAACGGAGAGGGAGAGACAGGAAGTGGGCTTGTGAAGTGGCCTCCGAACCTGATTGGCTAATGAGTTCAAGGAGGATTCCCTCCTCCTTTACCTTAAAAGGTACTGACAAGATGCAACCCCTGCTTCACCCACTTGTCTCTATAGACCACTGATGCTTCCTGCACCTGTTTTTAAATTGAACTTCTTAAACCCTGTGTCCTTCTGGATTAATGTACTTAGCACAAGCAAAACARGCTGTTTTGAGCTATTCATACATCTTCTTATTTAGATGGGCCCATTGCATTCTAACTATAATACATCCTAACTATAATACCTTTATAACTTCCTATCCTTTGCAATCTCATCATGGTTAATTTACAGAAGATAACAGGTCCCAGTATAAACAGTCTTCATCAATCCAGTTAAAAGTTATTTTCAGGTTTACCTTTTAGCTAACAGCCTCAGTGCAAAAGATGGGTGGCTTTAAACTTAGCTGATTTTGAATCCAAGCTTTGGTCATTTACTTGCACACATCTAAGCTTCAGTTTCCTCAACTATAAAAAGAGAATGACATCTTCCTTCCAGGACCATTTTGAGGATTATGTTAAATAACTCATATAGTGTACCCAGTACAATGCTTGCTGCAAGGGACTCAACAATGTTAGCTATTATTATTGTTATTACATAATTTCTCCTTAGATTTATCTCCCCAAGTAGACTATAAACAATCAGAGGGCGATCTGTGTATGCGATGAGTGTATGGGTTATAAATCCCTAAGGTCATAATTGATTAAGAGGTTGTTTTGACTGTTCACAGTCCCCTCCAGTTAAACTGTATGTCCTTCTTCTATTAGGACTGCCTCTTAAGCCATAATTAAAGGACTCAACGCACAACTTTCATCATAATTCTTAACAAATACTACAGAATATATATAAATATGTGCGTATATTAGAAGTATGAAGATTAATATTTTATATTGAATTATAAAAGGAAAAGATACAACTCTAACTCATAAGTACTTCTTCCTTTTTAATAATTTCATCCTAACCAGTCTTACTAGAAATTATTATCCATTTCAATCCACTTCAGTTTGAATGTCCCAAATATTCCAATATTCAGCATCAAATGCTAGTTTGTTGATTCATAATTTATTCATTTAATTGTAATTCAGAGAGTCAAAATTATTTCATTTATCAAATGTTTACTTTAAACTGGAAATGGTAATAAGCACTTCATATTTGTTGCTTTATTTAATCTCCAGAATAATCAAAGAATGTAAACACTTTTATTACAACTATTTACAGAAAAGGTAACATAGCTACAGAGTTTAAGGAAATTATTCATATCAGTTTGATTTCCTCAGCTGTAAAATGGAGAGAGCAACCTGCCTCACAGGCATAATTGTAAAAAATATATATGTAAAGCTCATATCATATTAAGGACTAAACATATTCTGTTTTCATTATGCACATTAAATGAGATTATGAATGTTAAAGCTCAGGGTCTACTACACAAAGAAAATTCTACTAGCTATTCTCAATATTTATTACATTTTTTCATATTTTTAAATTATTGCCTTTTATATGTTCTCTACTTTATTTGGATCATAATTGTCAGGTGCTTTTGACCTGCTATGGAATCAAGTTAACCAACCCAATCCAGTATATATATTGAGTAACTAAATTTTTTCAGATTTATTTTCAAGTATTTGATATGCTTTGACGTTGCCATAAATGGTAGCTTTTTTGAAATTTTGTTTCTAGTTGCTTCAAGTTCTTTTATAAATATACAGTTTATTTTTACATGTTATTTTTTATCAGCCTTGCTAAGCTTTCATATTAAGTTTCCTATTAAGCTTTCATATTGAAACTACCCTGTAGTCTCTTCTGGATTTTTCTAAATAATCATAATAACACCACATACAAATAATTAGAATTTTTTTCTTCCTAAACTTTAAGTTCTCCCCAACACCACACACAATGAGGATTTAGCCCAAGGCCTCGCCCAAGCTGAGCAAGCACCTACCACTTGGCAACAAGACCTTTCAAATTTTATTTTGAGGCAGAGTCTTACTAAATTGCCCAATCTGGCAGCAAATTTGGGCTCTTCCTGCCACAGCCTCCTAAGTAGCTAGGATTATAGGTGTGCACGACTGAACCAGAACAAAATTTACATCTTTTGATGAGCAAAAATTCTTTTTTAAAATTTATTTTTTAGTTGTAGTTGAACACAACTATAACTTTATTTACTTATTTATCTTTATTTTATTTACCTATTTTTATGTGGTGCTGAGGATCGAACCCAGGGCCTCGCACATGTGAGGTGAGCGTTATACTGCTGAGACACAACCCCAGCTCCCAAAAATTCTCAATATAATCAAATGTCTAGGTTTTATTTATTTGTTTGTTTATTTTTAATATTTGGGATTGAGCCCAGGGGTGCTTTACCACTGAGCTACATTCCCAAATCTTTTTTTTTTTTTTTTTTTTTTTTTTTTTTGAGACAGGGTCTTGCTAAATTGCTTAGGGCCTCAGTAAATTGCTGAGACTGGTTATGTTATCCTCCTGCCTCAAGCTCCCAAATCGTTGAGTTTACAGGAGCTTGCCACCATGCCCAACAATATCAATAATTCTTAATATCAATAATCAAATTCACCAATATTTTGTCTTATATTCAATGACTTACGTCTTAAGAAGCTATTACCCATCTCAAGGTTTAAAAGATATGTCCATTTTCTCTTTAAGAATTTTCAAGTTTTGTTTTATTTTTGAATATTAGCATTTAGTCCATTTGTTAATACACACACACACCAAAAAAAAAAAAAAAAAACCAAGGCACAACTTTCTGACTTTGATAGGGAAAGCCTGGCTTGCTGTGGGCATTGACTTCCTCTCCAGTTTCACTCCAGGGTCTTACTAAATGAGAACCACTTTTTTCCGTGGTTCTCATTTCTCTAGCCACGGGTCTCTCCCCTCCTCCCTCAATGATTCTTTTTCGTACTATTCAACTCATGTCGTTTCCTTAGTGACGAGTTCCCCAGTCTGCTCCCCATTAGTATTTCCCTTAGTAGTGTACATGTTGCAGTTATACTTTCACATCTGCTTGTGCAATTACTTGATTAATATCGGTATCAACTACAAGTTCTATGAAGACATGAACTATGTCTCTTTTGGCAAGGCTTTTTTATCCCAAGAATCCACCAAGGTATCCAATAAATATTTGTTGAAAGAATGAACTGCCTCAATGTGAACCATCTTTTTGTCCTGGAGTAAAATGCACTTGAGTTACATTATTTTAATATACTGTTGAATTTGACTTGCTAAAATGTTATCTAGCATTCCTGTATGTATGTGTGTATGCTTATATATATGAAGTTCTCGTTTCTTCTTACTGGGGACCATTTTAGCATAAAACTATATTTCAGTGTCCAAATCAGAATTACCTAATGCCCTGGCTCCCCACTTGTGTTTGACTCAGATGAAGCCTGGAAAACTATGCAGACACACCTTTTATTCCGTTTGGGAACCCGTGACCAAAAAGTTACCAACACACGTTTTTCCCCCCCTCTTTAAAAGAGGACGGGGGAGAGTAGTCTGAATTGGGTTATGAGGTCCCCATTTGCGGGGGTACCTCACCTCATCCATTGAACTCACTTGGCTGGCCGTGAGTCTGTTCCAAGCTCCGGCTAAGGAGGCATCCGCCGGGCCCCACCCGGAGGATGGGGTCCTCGGCATCTCCTGCCCAGTCTGCCCTCGCGCGGAGCCCCGTTCTCTGGGAACTCACCTCCCCGCGGTTCAGGGAGGGCCCTGTTAGGGCCGCTATTTGGCTCTAGTCTCAGACCTTCCCAAGGGACATGGGGTAGAGTGACGCAACGCACTCAGTTCGTAGCCCCACTGATGAGCTTCCCTCCGCCCTATGAAAGGGAAGCTGCTCAAGCAGAGTTTATAAGGCTCCCATGTGTACAGCCATTTCTCGGTCATGGTAACTACCCACAACACACAGCGATATGCAAATATAGCAGAGAGTGTCTTCCCGCGCGCGCCTGGTCGTCTCTGCGCCGGCGCGCTGCGTGGAGCGGAACTGTGACAGAGACCCTGCGATTCCTGGGAGCTGGCTGATGACATCAGTGTCTAACCTCCATGGCGCGGCGACGGGGTACTAGCGGCCGCCGACGGCGAGGTTCGGAGCGCGTTGTCTGGGTCGCGGGTGCTTTGTCCTAGGGCGTGGAATGCTTGAGTCCCCGCAGTTGAAAAGGGAACGTGTTGCCCTGATTCTTCACTATTCCTCTTCCCCTTGACCAGCAATTGACTCCCCAAACTAGTTTTAGTCCTAAACTTTTTAAATTGTTGTTTTCATATTACAGCTCTTAAGTCCAAAAAGCTTGCGGACCTAACAGCTAACGTAGTGCCAGTACTGTTAAAACCGAATGCCATACAATTAAAATATTGTGAGGTGCAGCATTATTTCATGAATCACTAAGTAAGGATAAGTGCTTCAATTAAATCTTGATTCGATATTTATTATGGTAAGAAGTGTCACAGTTTTCAGAGTGAAACTCTAAGAATTGTTGAGATATAGCTCTTCGTGTAGTATGTTCTCTAAATGGTCCTTTCTATRAATTAGATACTGTTTTCTGGTTTAAGAGTAGGTATTTTCAGGGAAGTGCTTTAGGGCATAAGATTAAAGCAAGCTTGGACACTCATGCCTCCAGCAATGAATTTAGAAGAGCCCTGTGATTCCACTTTTTTTTATGTTATTTGGTTACAATAGCAATTTAGCAAAGATAAGACCTTTTTAAGAATGATGGTGTAGCAGTTGTTATTGTTKCTTTGTAAGTTTCCAAACCATCTCTTACAAAAATTCTTTTCTTTTCTTGGTACTGGGGTTTGAACCCAGGAGCACTTTACCTCTGAGCTACATTCCCAGTCCTTTTTATTTTTAATTTTTTTCTTAGTTGCTGATAGATCTTTATTTTATTTATTTATACATGGTGCTGAGATTCRAACCCAGTGCCCCACACATGCCAAGCGAGTGCACTACCGCTGAGCCACAGTCCCAGGCCTTTATTTTTTTTATTTTGAGACAGTGWCACAAGTTGTTGAGCATTTCACTAAGTGTTGAGGCTGGCCTGAAACTTTTGATCCTCCTGCCTGGAATCAGTGGGATTATAGGCAGGCACTACTACAGCTGGCCCAAATCAAATTAGTTTTTTTTTAACTTTTTCCAACAAAGGATCAAATTCACTGTGTATTCATTCCTCCTTATTTTCTCATTGTTCTTGCCCTTGACTTTTTTAGCATCAAATGAAACCAAGAAAGTTAACAATGGCAACTCAACAACAGAAGACTCTCCTCTTGTCAAGAAAGCTCGAACATGTGAGAGAAAAGGAGTGAAAAAGGATCATGCAGCTGGAGAAGAAGCTAAGAACAGGACAGAAGACAGGCAAGGTAGTGGGCCAAGGAGGACATGGGCCAGCTAGATAGTCTGTGGGAGGGGCGAGGGTAATATGTTGTTCTTTCAATTCATTTCTTCCTTCCTTGACGGTATAATTGATTTCTCTATCCTTTGAGCATACCACATTATTAATCTACTTTGTTGATTCTTCATTTTCTTGTATTTGAGGTAGATTGAGACCTAGGCAGAAGACCAGGATTACTTGTAAATGGCAAATTAGTTATAATTAATTTCTAATCATGACAGCTACTTTTGATTCCCATATAAGTAATGGTAGTACATGTTTCTCTTTCCTCAGAAACCGTGAAAGCCTTGTTGTTAAAGGGGAAAGCCCCTGTGGACCCAGAGTGTACAGCCAAGGTGGGAAAGGTGAGAGACTGTGGAACGATCATTCCATAATTTGTCTGAGAGCAATGTTCTTTTGTTATTAGGATTCCTGTTTGGGATGTTGCCAATATTCATTTTTAGAAACTATCTCTAAAATTTCACTAATGATTTATTTTCTCCAAGGATGAGAGGAGTAGTAAGGTTTGGGATTAATGTTTAAGTTGTTATCATGGTTACCTTTTGGGTCACCATCACCCTTCTATACTTTATTCTATTGGAATCAGGAAATGCTATGATTATTAAAGTCAAACTGTCTTGGTCTAATGAGACACTTCCCTGGAATGGCATGGGTGAATGTTGAATAGAAAAGGATTTGAAAAATATAGAAGAAAGGCTGCTTTTGGAGCCGTTTCTTTTGAGTTGTAATCTTTTGTGTTTCTGTAATTAGAAAAAGACAGCATGTTTTCATTATAGAAATGACAGGCAATGTATAGAAAATGCATTTGCATTTCTTTCCCTGAAAGATAGATGGTGATGATACTGGGGAATGAACCTTGAGGCATAAGAAAATTTAGAGCCTCACTTTGGATCTCAGAGCTGAGAATATACCAATGTCATTTTTTTTTTCATCTCTCTAGGCTCATGTGTATTGTGAAGGAAATGATGTCTATGATGTCATGCTAAATCAAGTAAGAGCATCCATTCTATTTATGGGAATTTCTTTTTGATAATTATTAATACCCAGATCTTTAATTCTGAAGTCCCTTCTTTTAGCTACTTGTGGTTAGATTCCTGAGTACTCAGCCCTAACACACTCTGCCAGAGAGTGAAGTCCTCTATGAGATTGTTTTGCAAACTTTAGATCTTTTATTGAACCTATAAACTCTTCATATTTTCTCGTGTGTTATCTACTGAGTTGTTGGTTGGGTTTTTGTTTCATATTGTTTTTTAACTGGCTTTAGGGAATACTTGTACATATGTGGAGAATAGTTTTTTRTTTGTAATATAAATTGCTCATGTTTTCCAAGTTTGTCATTTGCCTTTTGATTTTCCTTGTGGTWTATACACTTTGGCCTATATTGAAGATGTAAATTTGTTTGTAGTTAAATTTATTATTTTTTATTTTTAATTAAACTTTTCTATTTACTCATTTTTGTGGTTTTRAATAGATGATATATTTGCTTGGTTACTATATTTCCTAGTTACCACTTCATGTTTGAATTTATTGATTSAACATAAATTTTTAGCAGCTGACTAGTATTCCTTTGTTACTGTTTCTTCCATCTTARGTATTATGAACAAACAGAAAATATCTTAATATCCCTTTCTGCTCTCAAGATTTTATGTCAGCAGGCAGGAGGTAGAGATAGAAAAGGGCAGTGTTTGATAACCAGGGTTCAGTCTTCGAGTACTGGCTGCTGTGCCTTATCACAGACCACTCTTCACTCTTAGTGAGTTAACTTACAAATACCTCTTTTTAGATACTACTCATATTCTCTTTAAATGTCTCCAAGGCAAATCAGGTTAGGAATAAGACAGATGTGACAGTGGATATCCTTTGTCCCCTTGCAACATTGTCCTACTCTGAGGTTCACTGTCAAATTTCTGCCCCTGACAAACCAAAGCTCTAAGAACTATCAGAGTAAGAAGTAATCTAAACAAACAAGCATAGTGATTGTACACCTATGGAGCATCAAAATTGTTTTCATTTGGGCTAGGTACAGTGGTGCACATTTGTAATCCCAGAGACTTAGGAGGGTGATGCAGGAGAATCGGAAGTTTGAGACAAGTCTTAGCAACTTATTGAGGCCCTGAGCAACTTAGTGAGATCTTGTCTCAAAATAAAAAGTAGAAAGGACTGGGGTTATAGCTCAGTGGTTAAGTTTTCCTAAGTTCAATCCCCAATACCAAAAAAAAAAAAAGGAAAAAAGAAAAGAAAATGTTTTCATTTGGGAAATAATTATAAGGAATGGATTAGGATTTGGAAAACATAGTACTRTTCATAGGTCAACTGAAGCAGGAGCAGCCAATAATGTAAGATATTGAGGTTAGGTGGAGGGTTTTAGGAAGCTTCCAGGCCCCCACTTGAATTGCTGAAAATCCAAAGTTTAATATATAAACCTTATTCTTTCTTTATATCCTTATTCTTATAGGAATCTAATTTTTTGCCCCATGCTGTCCTTTTCTTTATGGAAATTACTAGCACCTGTGACCAAGAATCATTGGTTAATGTGACTTACATTTGAAAAACTTTTTTTTTTTATGTTCACTATTCTCYCACTCATCATAGACCAATCTTCAGTTCAACAACAACAAGTACTATCTTATTCAGTTGTTAGAAGATGATGCCCAGAGAAACTTCAGTGTTTGGATGAGATGGGGCCGAGGTAATGACCTTTATTATAGATTTTATGCATTGTCATTCAGAAAGCCAGAGGCCATATAGTGAGTAGCTGGGTTTAAATTGGAAAAGTAGAGGGTCTGAAGTTTGGAAGAGGCTTAGGAATCAAATTAGGCTTCTTGAAGTTGGATAATGGCTGGCATCTTTATGAGGAAGTTCCCTTTGGATAGAATGAGCATTCTGTGAGGCTGAAAACTCTCCTGTGATTAGACAGCTAGTACTGCTCATAGGCTATGGTAGTTAGCAGGTAACTTGTGTCAACACAATTAGTTCCCTAGTGCTTTCATCGTTCTCTTCTTTTCCTGCTCATTTGCCAGATAATAAACAGAGAAGTCTGATAACTGGTTTGTTATTGTTAGGAAACTCTTCTTGAAGTACAGAACAAAACATATTATTATATGTGCCATTTACTTTGCAGTTGGGAAAACTGGGCAGCACAGTTTGGTGGCTTGTTCAAGCAACCTCCATAAGGCCAAGGAAATCTTTCAGAAAAAGTGAGTAGTAGAAAATGAGTACAAAAAATACCCTTCTTAGATTGATCTTCTTCAAAAAAAAAATTTTATAATGAATGTGATTTGGCCTGAATGTGAATTTTTTCCCACTTTAACAATCTGTGATTAGAAGACTAAATTGCATTCTTAGTGACTAAATTAATGTAGAGCCTTGAAATTAACTAAAACTAGAAGAATCTAATATATTAAATTGACAATAAACAAAAGAAATTTGGGGAAAGTAGAGATCATCATTTGGGTGGAGAAAATCAAGTGAGAATTTTGAGAACTTTCCCTATGATATGAAAGTAGAACTTTTAGGATTCTCTGGGAATATGTTTCATTGGTATTGAATAGATATCTTTTGCTTTAAATCTCATGGTTTCTGTGGTGTTTGGGGACCTTTGGGATGCCTAGGGATTCTCTCCTCACCCCTACCACCACTTATTTTGTTTCGTTTTATTTAAGTTCTTTGTTCCAGAGTTTTTTTTCTCTTTGATTCATATTTTTGGAAAGCTGAGATGTAAAGGAGCTGAGGGAGAAGGTTAATAAATTTTTGGAGACTTTTGCCTAAGGAAGTAGTTGTAAATCCATTCCTAAACTTTTATTTATCTTACCACCTTGCACTCTACAGATTCCTTGACAAAACCAAAAATAATTGGGAGGATCGTGAGAAGTTTGAGAAGGTGCCTGGAAAATATGATATGCTACAGATGGACTATTCCACCAGTACTCAGGTAAGTGCTGACTATTTTGGGGGGAAAGCTGTCTCCTCTTACTCAGGGTAAAGTCTAATAGGAAGATTTATAAAAGTCCAAGACCAATCAGGCCAGAATATCGTGAGTCATTGCYGTTTCCCACCTCAGGGGTAACTGTCACTTGTCTCTATAATCTCAAAGGGGCAGAAAGAGTGAGGCTAGAATGTGCCTTTTAAAATCTTTGCTCTATTATTTACTAAAATTATTTAAAAATCTGAAGCCCTGTTCCCAGAATTCTAATGTTATGGACCAAGAAAGCAGTAATATATAACCAAACTGAAAGAACTACATTTAAAATTGTCTTCATTTTCARTTCTGTACCACTGTAAAGAAATTCACAAACTGAGATGCAGTAGAAAAACTGAAAACTATCACATATATGAAAAACAGAAATTTTAGAAATCCAGGCCTTGTGGCACACACACGTATAATACCAGCTCCTCTGGATGCTAAGGCAGGAGGTAGGGATAGTTGAGACCAGCCTGAGCAGGTTAGCACGATCCTATCTCAAAAAAGGGTTGGACATATTCAGTGATAKATTGCTTGCCTAGCAGGCATGAGGCCTTGGRTTCAATCCCCAGGCAGGGGGGGTGGGGGAGGGAGTCAGAAGATTTAAGATATAGTAATATCTTTATATGCTTAATGACCATCAAGAGGGCCTTATTAACTGTGGGAGGCTATGGTAGTTAGCAGGTAACTAACTATGTGGGTATTCCAGTTGGGTTAAGAATGGAATGTTCCTGTGTTCAAGCAGAGACTGATTGAAGATCACTCTGTAGAGCACCTCTTTCAGGGTCTTACAATAGAGCCTTTCAAATTTTGTGGATTTTGTTTGTTTTTCTGTAGGATGAAGATGAAACAAAACAAGAGGAATCTATTAAAGCCCCCTTGAAGCCAAAGTCACAGCTAGATCTTCGTGTACAGGAGCTGGTAAAGTTGATCTGTAATGTCCAGACCATGGAAGAGATGATGATTGAAATGAAGTATGATACAAAGAAAGCCCCGCTTGGTAGGATTTCACATTCTGTCATACATTCACTCTTTATACATCTTAGCTTCTTTTGTTGTTGTTGTTTTTGTTGTAGATGGACACAATATCTTTATTTTTATTTGTTTATTTTTTATGTGGTGCTCGGGACTGAACCCAGGGCCTCACGCATGCGAGGCAAGCACTCTACCACTGAGCTACAAACCCAGCCCCATCCTAGCTTCTTTAATGGAATATTTCATTACTATGATGATTTAAAGCTTGCTGATAGTACTGAATRGAGAAAACAAAATTTGAGATAAAAAGTTGTGAGGTGAGGGGAGGAACTATTTTCAAAGTTGAAAGGTGAGAACCTTTGCTGAGCACGGATGTAAGTATTGTTTACAGAATGAGACCTAATTCAGAGTCTTGTCTGTGATTGGGTCTACAGGGAAGCTGACAGTAGCACAAATCAAGGCAGGTTACCAGTCTCTCAAAAAGATTGAGGATTGTATTCGGTCCGGCCGGTGTGGACGAGCTCTCCTGGAAGCATGCAATGAATTCTATACCAGGATCCCACATGACTTTGGGTAAGGACTGTGCTATTCATTTACTTCATYCTTCTCCCTATCCATACTCCCTGAATCAAATCAGCAGTAGCTATAATCCTTTAATCTTTTATTCCTAAGGAAATTATCATCTTAAATAGTGCCAAAATGATTTATAGATCACATATTTAATCAGTTTTGTGATTCTGCAACCTGTACACTCAGAATAATGAGAAATTATATCCCATCTGATTCAAATGTATGATATGTCAAGGTCATTGTACTGTCATGTATAACTAATTAAAACAAATAAAAAATTTAAAAAATAAATAAATAAAATAAAAGTAAAAAAAAATATATGGGATGGAATCTCCTGGCCTGACTACAACCATAATCTCTGACCAAGCAGAAGTTACCAACTCAAGAGAGAATGGGTTTAGCTATCCAACCAAGTAAAACACTATCAAGACATATCACCCCTTTTCTTTAAGATGACTATAACTACACTAACATTTCTGTGACTCAAATGATACTAGATACATAAAATACATGTTTATCTTTTTTTTTTTTTTTTTTTTACTTTGAGAAAGGGTCTCACTAAATTGCTGAAACTGACGTTGCCTCAGCATCCTGAGTCACTGGAGTTATAAGCCTATATCATTGTGCCGGACCAGAGCTTATTTTTAAAAGGATCCCATAAAAAAGAAATTCAACTGTAGTCCCAAATGTGAAAATCTATGTAGTTTCCTTTATTCTACTCAGAGTATATATTTAATATCCCTTTATATATCTGGACCTCTTTCTTTCAAGTGGGAAATCCCAGTTCCTAAGATCTGTTTTGTAAAGGATTGATTTTTAGCCTGCTATTTTCAATCATGTTCCTTTTAGCCACAAATAAGATAGCTCATTATTGATTCTATCTTTGTCCTTAGACTCCGCACTCCTCCATTAATCCAGACAGAGAAGGAACTGTCAGACAAAATACAGCTGCTAGAGGTGAGGTATATATGGATKGGGAAATATTAAATCTCTTATTCCAGGTTTCCTCGCATTGATTCTATATCTCTTCTTCTTAGGCTTTGAGAGACATTGAAATTGCCATTAAACTGGTGAAGACAGAACTGCAAAGCCCAGAACACCCATTGGACCAACACTACAGAAACCTGCACTGTGCCTTGCACCCTCTAGACCATGAAAGTTATGAGTTCAAAGTAAGAAAAATGGTTTTATTTGCAAAGACCAGCCTTYCCTCATCTATTATTCTCTAATTCTGATAAAAAGCAAACTGTCAAAGAAGGCAGGATTTCTCTTTACAAGGAATTTGTGAAGTTAGAGCTCTTTCTAACTGCCTTGTAGACCATTTAGGAGCAAAAAGTTCTGCCAAGTTATACCAGAAGCCACCAGTTCTTCAGTTCAGCCCCGTCTCTTCAAGAGTACACAGCAGCCATATTTTCCACTTTTCCACAGGTGATTTCCCAATACCTACAGTCTACCCATGCTCCCACACACAATGACTATACCATGACCTTGCTGGATGTTTTTGAAGTAGAGAAGGAAGGTGAAAGAGAAGCCTTCAGAGAGGACCTTCATAACAGGTGAGTCCAGCTTTGGACTTCAGAAGACATTTCCTTTTCTGAAATAACAATTAAGGAACTTCAAGGGGTGGCAGAGGCAGCTCTTGGCTTTTTTTTTACATTTATGACCTATGTTTACAGAAGAGCTCCAGAGTATAATAATGGCTTTTTCTTAGGATGCTGCTATGGCATGGTTCCAGGCTAAGTAACTGGGTAGGAATTCTGAGCCATGGGCTTCGAATTGCCCCACCTGAGGCTCCCATCACAGGTTACATGGTAAGTAGAAATTAAACTCTGGAATGGAACATAAGGGGAAAAGCATACTAGGATACAGTAGTCCTTTTTTGTTTGTTTTTCTAGATTGGGTTTAGGTGGTACTTCTTCCCAAGAATTAAACCAAAGCTCACTGATAATCCTGTTATCTCTTACTTTATCCCTATTTCTTTAAACTTCAAGAAATAGATTTCCTGTTCTCCATAAAATAGAGATTTACAAATCTTTCTATCCTCTCTGGAACAGAATTGTGAAGGGTAATAGAGAAGGGTCTATATTGTGTTTAAGAGAATGGAAAACAGTCAGTGGTATGAGCCATCCTTCTAACGCAATGAGTTAATAAGCAGCTGACCTTGGTTTTGTTTATGTATTTCAGTTTGGAAAAGGAATCTACTTTGCTGACATGTCTTCCAAGAGTGCCAATTACTGCTTTGCCTCTCGCCTAAAGAACACAGGACTGCTACTTTTATCAGAGGTAAGGCAGGAACAAATCTGTGATGTCTAGTTTGTTATTAATTCCTGTGTTTTTCTAGTGACAAGTTTGACCCAAGAACAAAGATATTTACCTGGGATGACTTGAGAAGAACCAACTGAAATTTTCATTGCATTAGATTCCTTTACTAGAGTAAAGGAAGAAAATACAAATGGGATTATCTGGTTGGCTTAAGAGCCACCTAATTCTTAGTAGAATGTAGGCATTCAGAGATCTTTTGCTTTGCAGGTAGCTCTAGGTCAGTGTAATGAGCTACTAGAAGCCAATCCTGAGGCAGAGGGATTACTTCAGGACAAACACAGCACAAAAGGGCTGGGCAAGATGGCTCCCAGTCCTGCCCACTTTGTCACCCTGTAAGTATTCAAAGCCAAGAGGGCTAGAAGACTTCTTATAAACAAATAAGACTCTATTTTCTGCATTCCAATTTCTGAACCAAGGCTGATGTTGACATTTTCTTCCATTTGGCAGGAATGGGAGTACAGTGCCCTTAGGACCACCAAGCGATACAGGAATTGTGAATCCAGAGGGTTATACCCTCAATTACAATGAGTTTATTGTCTATAACCCCAACCAGGTTCGTATGCGATACCTTTTAAAGGTTCAATTTAATTTCCTGCAGCTATGGTGAATGTTGATATTAGGTAAACCAGAGAAGATATAAATAACCTTTAGGCAAGACAATAAGTGACATTGTACTTTTGAACTTTTTGATCTTTTGTGTAATAAAATGAGCATAAATCCACTGCTGGCTTCTGTGGACTTAACCTCTCTAAGCACTTATCCTGACATTAGTATATCTTCATTTCCAGGGTAGAAAATACCCATTGCTCTGTGTCTCCCACAGCTAGTTGCAGATTACTCAGGTTCTTGTTACTTCACAGTGTAACAGCTCATGTACCCTGAAGGACACTAATGGGAGCAAATGCTTTTCTCTATTGAATTCAATTTTTCTGCAATCTGGAGTTTGTTTAGAATTAGTGAAAGAAGAGTAGAGGTCCGAAAGGTTGAATTATTCCCCTTTTTCCCATCCATTTCTTCTTGATTACCCTTTTCTGTTCAGCAACTGCAGAACAGGCCTCCTATCATTTAACATCATAATCCATATCAGACGTCCAAATATTTGAGAAGCCCTGGGAGGACTGTCACTAAGCCATACATCTTGSGGAGAAAAGAGAGAATTAGGATGAGTTTACATAAACTGTTCCATCAAAGAAGTCCTGACAATCAGGTCAGACCAAGAACTTTCTGATAATTTTTAAACACATGCAACAGACATCTTAAATAATAATGAAGATTTTTTATTTTTATTTCTTTGGTGTAAGAGATTGAACCCAAAGCCTTGAATTACACCCTCACTCTCTAATAAGGATTTAAATGAAGTCAATAACCTATAACTTTTTAGAAACTAGATTACCAGTATTGATCAAAATGTTAAGTTTTATTCTAAAACTTAACAGATGTTTTGTATAGATGRTGTTACTGCAACATTTATGTACACGAAAAGATCCATAGTTAAGGAAGTTAGTTAAATATATCCATTCATTGAACTATTATGCCACTACTAAAACTGAAGTGAACTTTAGTTCGATGGTTAAGCACCCCTGGGTTCCATCCTTGGTATCAAAAAAAAGCAACATCTTTTCATGAACATCAAACTAGGAATGAGAGTTCCCTCAGCCTGATAAAGGGACATCTCTTGAGAAACTCACAGCTAACAAACATCGTACTTAATGGTGAAAGAAAGGAATAAGACWAGGATGTCTACTCTTACCACTTCCATTCAGCATTTTACTGGAGGTACTAGCCATGGTAGTTAGTCAAAGAAAAAAAAATTTTAAAGGTATACAGATTGAAAAGGAGGTAAGACTATAACTGAAATATACATGACCTTATATATAGAAATTTCTCAAGAATTTACACAAAATATTGGAGCAAAGTTCAACAACAYTACCAGAGACAAGATCAACATATGAAATCACTTACATTTCTATTTACTAATAATAATCTGAAAAGAAAATTAAGAATTCCATTAAACATCACAAAAATAATATGGGGGCCAGGCATGTAGCTTATTGGTAGTATGCTTGCCTAACATAGCAAGGCCTTGGTTTGATCCTCAGCTCCACAAAACAACAACAACAAAATTTTAATATACATAGGAATAGATTTAATGAAGAAAACACAAATCTTGTATACTGGATACTATAAAACATTTTTATAATATTTCAATGCAATAGTTTTTGTTTTCTGTTTTGGTACCAGGCATTGAACCTAGGGGCACTTAACCACTGAGCCACATGCCTAGTCCTTTTTTTATTTATTTTTTATTTCAAGACAGGGTCTCACTAAGCTGCTAAGGCTGGCCTTGAATTTACAATCCTGCCTCAGCCTCCTGAGTCGCTGGGATTACAGGCATGCACCACCAGGCCTGGCGCAAAACTTTGTTGAAAGAAATTCAGACCTACACATAAATGGGAAGTCATCCTGTGTCCATCGATTGAAAGATTAATATTTTTTGTACAACGGACAAGAAAACTTTACATATAAATGGAATTGCAAAAGGATCCTGAATGGCCAAAACAGTCTTGAAGAGTAAATATAGAGGGCTTACACATTCTGATTTCAAAATTTATTGTGAAGCTATATAATAATCAAGACARTGTGGTGTTGGCATAGGGAAGACGGAGATCAATGGAACAGAACTGAGAATCCCAAAATAAATCCACTTGGTTTTCAATAATGGTGCCAAGACCATTCAATGAGAAAATAATACTATACTTCACTGCATAATTGTCACCACCACATAATAATCACCCTGTTTTTTCAGTCCAAAAAATTAGTTTATAGCCCTTCATCACATAATTGTTGTATTGTATAATTCTGTTCATCACACCACATCACACCACTTAAAAAGTAAACGGCAGMAATGTATTCAGTGGCATATGGATGTGCATTTGTCTTCTCACATACTGCAAGCCATGAGCCTAGAATTCTCAGTGCACACAATGTCAGCATATTTCCAAAAGCTGACTTGTGTGGTTTGTTAAAAGTGCCCCAGTATTAATGGTAAACACATCTTTCATGAGTGGCACTGAGGACAATGTGTCAGAAAACAAGACCAATGAAAGCAGCATAGAATCTTTGGAAACAAAAAATTAAGTTTTTAAGTTCATACTTCACAAGACTRTAGTAAAAGTTCCCAAGTGTGATACCTCCACTTTGGTACACAAATCAATGACAACTAATGTGTTAACATTTTCCTTCAGACCAAAAAATGTTCTCAAAACTGTTATCAAAGGAAAGCTATGTGTCAATTTGGACTACACAATTTTAATGGATATTCACAAGTATCCAGTGATGCATCCTAACCTTGCACCAAAGACAGCTTAGCAAAAAATGATTTTAAAGTATTACCAGCAACAATTTTTTAGAAATTTGTGCCGGGCACAGTGGTGCACACCTGTAATCCCAGCAGCTCCAGAGGCTGAGGCAGGAGGATAGCAAGTTCAAAGCCAGCTTCAGCAATGGCGGGGCGTTAAGCAACTCAGTAAGACCTGTCTCTAAATAAAACACAAAATAGGGCTGGAGATGTGGATCAGTGGTTGAGTGCCCTGAGTTTAATTCCTGGTACAAAAAAAAAAAGCTTTATATAGTAGTTGCACCCCACTCTTTAGCGCACACACACACACCCCAAAAAAAAAACTTGGCATAAAATCTGCACCAATTATGTGGTGAAAAATGGTAGTCTTTTCAACAATGGTGCTAAGACAACTTAAATTAAAATAATGAATTTGGAATGCTACCAAATTTTTCACAATATATGTAAAAATTAAGTCAAATATATCAAAATTAACTCTCAGAAAACATGGGGAAAATCTATGACCTTGGATTAAGTGACAGTTTCTTAGACAATACCAATAGCACAAGCAAACAAAAAATAAATTTCAAACTTGGCCCATCAAATGACACTATTAAGAAAGTGAAAAAATAACCTATAAAAGAAGAGAAAATATTTGCAAATCATCTGATAAAGGCCTGTTTTCCAGAATGTATAAAGAACTTTTAAAATTMAATAGTGAAAAGACAACCCAACTAAAAACAAAGGATTTGAACAGACATTTGCCAAAGAAAAATCCAAATAACCACATAAAAAGATGCTTAGTATCATTATGCATTAAAGAAATCAAACTACAGTGAGATACTACTTTATACCAACCAGCACGACCATAATTAGACCAACAATAACAAATGTTTGCAAAGATGTAGACAAATTACAACCCATAAACACCTTGCTAGTGGGACTATAAAGTAGAGCCGCTGCTTTGAAAAACAGGCCATCCTTCAAATAGTTAAACACAGAGTTATCGTGAAACTACCAATTCCACTCCTACCTATATAACTAAGAGAATGGAGAAATGTTCACAGGAAAATTATAAATGTTGGTAACAATATGAAGACTAACCAAGAAGCAGCAACAATTCAGTGATGAATAAATAGATGGAGAAGTAATAAGGTTCTTTGTAGATGAATTTCAATTAATAAATGTAGAAAGTTAACAGAAATAGAAGATCACTATTAGAAAACCACAGTAGTAATTGTTGCAGTCATGATACATAGACAGGACATGGTGACATATACCTGTAATCTCAGGTACTCAGGAGGTTTAGGCAGTACTATTGTAAGTTGGAGGCCAAGGTAAAAGAAAAAAAAAAA